TGAATGAATGAAACATTTTTACTGATGATCTTGAGCCTACTTGTGTCTAAGTTTAGCAAGGACAGAGATTCATATCTGCTTTGTTCAGTGATTCCTCAGCAGTAAAATAAATAAATAAATAAATAAATAAATAATGCATATGTTTGTTGGGTGTATTTCAGTCTCCTTATTTTATCAGTTATTTTGTCATCTCTGCTGGTTCTGTCCTTGCAGATCTACATTTTCTTGAATGATGCTAAATTACAGCTACATATTTAAGTTAAACAGTTCTCTAGTAAAGAGAGTGAAATTATATGAGCTTTTAACTCCTCTGGAAAATATAGCCTGAATATTTCTGCTTATAAATATATTCATCTTCTTGCCATTAAACAATCTAAAACTCTCCCTTTGACTTTTTGCAATGTATATTTTCTAAAACAATTACACCTTTTTTACTTACTCTGTGTGAATTTTATTGTAGATCCTCCTTTCCCCTTTTAAAATTAGATCCTGAGGTACTCTATAATTCACTACCTTCCCCCCCCCCTATTTCTTGGACTCTTCTCTTTTTCTTTTCTGTAGAATATTCCTCTTCCTTCTGCTGAAGTGTACTAATACTCTCAGACTGTGTTTTGGGCTCTCTTCTGTTTTTCTCTTTGGCTTTTTTTAGTGGAGCTCTGATTCGTACGGTTTTCACATCTATTTCAACACAGATGATTACAAATCTGTGTGTTTGCTTGTGATAATTACTCTGAGCTTTCCCCTTGTGAGCATTTCCATTTAAATATCTTACTACCACATCAAATTTTACATATTCCAAACCACATTCACTATTTTTCTGCAAGAGCTGACTTATTCATTGGAATTATCTCCTATTTTTTGTTAATGATACACAGTCACTGGACTTCTTAGAGGAAAGAGAAGATCAGTATTTATTTTATCATCCGGTACACACCAAGCATTATGCTTTTCAGTTACTCTAACTGATCGTCGTGAATCCCTTGTGACTCCTTAGTCCACTTGTGGTACATTTCATTTACACCACTATATGACCCTCATCATATTAATTTCCTGTAATTCAGACTTATATTTTGTAAGCCTCTCAGACAAAGATTTAATCTCATACCTCTTTATGTCATCACAATGCACCACAGATAAGAGTACATTTTAATGAGTGTTTGATGACTATTCATACAGAAAAAAAAAATGCTCTAAATAAGGACCAGAAATCTCAGCCTAGTCAAGACTTAATGAACAGCTAAACTATATATAAACTTGATCATTGAACCCAGCTGAAAGTGGTTAGGCCCCCCCAAAATGGCAGAGGCTCTTATACCTTAAAGATCACCTGTTGAACAAATATTTATTCTGTAATATTTTTCTTTTTCTGTAATAAACTCTAATGTACTCATTTTATATTGCTTTGGTTAGCATATTCATAGAAGGTAGTATATTTATTTTAGCTTCTCTTTCTTCCTCACTAGGTGCACCAGGTATAATCTCTTCACCATATGCAGGGGCTGCTGGATTTGCCCCAGCCATTGGATTTCCTCAAGCTACAGGTGAATCTTTTAAAGTTGATTTTGAAATAATTTTCAAATGATTTTCCAGGAACTTAGCAAGATGAAAAATGAAAATTTTGAAGAATGTAGAATAAAAGCATTGGGCATCTGGGCGTGGCAGCACCTGCCCCATAATCCTGGTGGCTTAGGAGGCGGTGGCAAGAGGATGGCAAATTCACAGTCAATCTTAGCAATTAGTGAGGCCCTAAGCAATTTAGCCAGACCCTGTTTCTAAATAAAATATAAAAAGGGGCTGAGGATGTGGTTAAGTGCTTAAGCACCCCTGGGTTCAATCCTC